GAGCGGTGGCGAGGGTCCTCACCTTTGAGGCCCACCGTGCCGCGTCACCTCTTGGAGCTGGGCCGACCTGCGAGGGCCCCGTGGCTAGAGTCAAGGCGAGCATGCCCAGCGCGAACAGAAATGAGGCTCCAGGATCTCGGGGTGGATCGGCTCCCAGAGCTCCAGCGTCGTGGTTTCTCGCAACGTGGACCCCCAAAAGACCTGAAAGAGCGCGCTCTGTGAACGCTGGGAAGGCGGGGGCTTCGAACCAGGGGGAAGACCCCCCCCCCGAGATACCAGGGAGAGGTTCGAAAAGGGAGAGGGCCCTCTCCCCTTCAAGGGGGGGGCTCGAACAGGCGGCCCCCCCCCTCTGTCCAAGGGGGGGCTTCGCACCAGCCCCCCCTCCCCCCTTTGTCCAAAGGGGAGGGGGAGGGCTCGAACTGGGGGAGAGACACCCCCCCCTTGAGTTGCAGGGGGATGGGGTTCGAACTAGGGAGGCCCCCCGACCTGAGTTGCAGGGGGGGGTTCGAACCAGGGAAGGGCCCCTCCTGCAACCGACGGCGAGCGCTGGCGCTGGAGCCGTTTGGCCGCGACGACGAGGGGCCCCCCCCACTTGCAACCGACGACGGCGAGCGCAGCGCCGGCGACGGAACGGTCGGGCAGCGACGACGACGACGACAACGACGACGACGGCGACGGCGACGGCGACGACGACGACGACGGCGACGACGACGACGACGGCGGCGACGGCGGCGACGACAACGACGACGTACGACGACGACGACGACGACGACGACGACGACGACGACGACGACGACGACGACGACGACGACGACGGCGGCGGCGGCGGCGACGACGGCGGCGACGACGACGACGGCGACGACGACGACGACGACAGCGGCGACGGTGCCGTCGGGCAGCGACGACGTAACGGCGACGGCGACGGCGACGGCGACGGCGACGGCGACGGCGACGGCGACGGCGACGGCGACGGCGACGGCGACGGCCACGGCCACGGCCACGGCCACGGCGGCGGCGACGGCGACGGCGACGGCGACGGCGACGGCGACGACGACGACGACGACGACGACGACGACGACGACGACGACGACGACGACGACGACGACGACGGCGGCGGCCACGACAACGGCGACGGCGATGGCGACCTGTGGGGCGAAGGCGAAGGCGACGGCGACGGCGACGGTGACGGCGGCGACTGCGACGGCAACGGCCACGGCGACGACGGCGACGCAAACGGAGTTTGGCGGCGACGACGACGACGACGACTACCACGACGACGACGACGACGACGACGACGACGACGACGACGACGACGACGACGGCGACGACGACGACGACGACGACGAATACGACGACGACGCGCACAGGGATGGGGGATAATGACGCCCGGTCGAAGACCCCCCCTTTGCAACGCAGGCGGGGGGGGGGTCGGGCCCCCCCTGGTTCGAACCCCCACCCCCACGCTGCAACTCACAGAGGGGGGCACCCACACCCTCCCTGGACAGGATGGCCCCCCCCCCCCGTTCGAACACCCCCCCCCTTGCAACTCAAGACGCGGGGGAGGGCCCTCTCCATGCTCGAATCCCTCCCCCCTTAGACACGGAGTGCTGGCTCCAACGTATCAGGAGTTTTTGTCCAGGCAAGCGTCCACGAAACGCGTTCTCTCAGTCAGAGATCTGGACCCTTTCCCAGGGACCAGTTTCTCCTCCCGAGCCATGTCTTCACGGCCCAGAGGGTGCGCCAGGCAGGTAGTTCCGGCAGGCAGGGCGCAGACAGCGATAGGCCTTGACATCGCATTGCAAAAAGCGATAGGTGGCCCAACACTGGTTCTGAAGTGGTTCGAGGTTCTGGGCTCCGGCAGGTATCTTGCTCTTCTCGGTCTCCAGGAACCGCTTTCGGGCCCCGGGACTGTCAGAAATGGGTCCGGGATGAAAACCTTGTACCAGATGGACCCGAGGAGGGGTTTGGGGACCGATTTCGAACGAAGTTGGTCTCATCTCCCCTCTTGGCCGATTTTCCGGGGTCACAACAACGTCAGACTCCCTGGCCGCTTCCGAATCTTCACCGACATTGGCGCGTAAGCTGACAGTGCAAGGCCGCGCGTAAGCGCCCTTTTTTCCACGCGGTGTGCCACGCTGGCGGCACGCGTAAGCCACCGCGGAAGGTTGCTATGTCATCTCGCGTAAAGGCCCGTCTTTTTTCGACGCACACCGTTTTAGCATACGGCGGGGGGCGTTCGTCCAGGAATTTGCCCAGGAGGCCTCAGAATTTGGAGGATTGCTTACCGGATGAGGGCGGCAGTGATGCCCATCGCCAATCCACAATGAGAGTTCCACCCGGCTTCCAGACTAGGGGAACGGGAGTCCAGCGCGGATCCGAGAAACCCGCGCGGACCTCCGAGTTCTTATGTGTATGTCATTGTTTGTTTCCCTACAGACTCTGGAAACCTTTTCCAATGGCTCCTTATCCAAGGCCCTCGCCGTAACCGCACGCTGCCGCAGGTCCTCGGGCTAAGAGGAATGTGCAGCGAGCCTCCGCCGATGGACGAGCGGAGGCTGCGCCCCCTCCCCAGACCCCCGACGCCATGTTTGTTGCATGACTTCGGCCCCACGAGGTCTCGACCCCTTCCCGGGGACCCGTTTGTTCCTCCCCCGTCGCTGTTGTTGACGGTCCCGAGGCCCGGGAAGGGCCCCCGGGGGCCGAACATGGCGAAAAAAGTGTCCCGTCGTGTTTTTGTTCCTGACTTATGCGTCCTCCTCCCACTCCCCCTCCTTGCATGGCGGCACACTTCGCCACAACGGCGCCCCCGTTTAGGCCTTTCCGCAAACGCAGACCTCCTCTGCCTCGCCGCCGACGCAAAAAGTCTTCTCTCGGGCCTGTCCCTCTACAGGAGGAAAATTCAAAAACAGACAAAAAGATAGTCTGGGCACGATGTGTCGAGCATTTTTTGCTATTTGCGCATGTGTGCTAAATTTTTCTGCCGAAATCCGCCTGTCGGGGGACACGCCCGACCTAAGAAAAGTTGTCTTCATGACTCGAGGGGGCCTGGGTCTGCCACGGCCCTCGCGGGGGGCGGGGCCCGCGGAGGCACCCCGCCCACGGGGGGGGCCGAGCCGAGCCGGGGCGGCACCCGCGAGGGACTGGCGCGAGAGGGGGCGGGGCGGCGTCCCGAGGGGGGCGGTTCGGGCTTCTGCCCCGAGGCGGCGGCGTGGAGCTGGTGTTTTTTTTGTTGTTGTCTCGAGCATTGCTTGAGCATGTTCGAAGATGTTTTGACTGCCGCTTCATCTCTCTTCCGAAATCCGCCGGTGGGAGGACATGCCAGACCTGCCGCTGGTGTGGGTCCTGGCGCTGCCGCTCCGATCCGACCTCGGCTCCGTGCCGATGCGGCCCGATCCGACGCTCGATGATTTAGGCCTCCTGGATTCAGGCGATCGCAAACATGGATCAAGGGGGCGTAGATTAGCGACGGGACCCGCTTTCACGGGAAACCGCGGATTTCCGCCGCCGAACCAGGCGGCACCGGCCGCATTTGGGGGAGGGCTTTTTCACCGATCTATGGATTTGGATGTGGCGACCGCGCGCCAAATCCATGGATCGCTAACCCATGTTTGCGCGGCCCCGATAGATGTGATCCGAGTCCGAGTGGATGGGGTCGGGGGATCGCGCCGCATCGCCGATGCATCGGCGATGCGCCTCGATGTGGAGCCCGATTTCCTTCACGTCGACGTCGCCGATGCATCGCCGACGTCGCCGATGCTTCTCCGATACAACGGCGATGCATTGGCGATGCGGCGCGATCATTTGAGCCCATCTACTCGGACCCCATCCAGGAGGCCTCCAGTGCCGATGCGGCCCTATGCGACGCACGATCAGCGGCCGCGGCCGCGGCCGGAAGAGGAGAACCACCGCGAAAAATCGCGGCAGCTCCCCCCTCCCCAACCGCAACCGCATCAGCGGCAGCGGCACCGCAGGAGCGGCCCGACCCGGGTTCCCGGCTCGATCGTGCCGCAAGGGCCCGACAAAATTATCAGTTTTTGCGCGCGCAGGTGTTTTATTTTGCGGAGCTCGGCGCCCTGGCGCGAACGTCCGCACGACCTCCGTCGCGGGACACTCTGGCAACACGGCTGGCCGCCACAAAAACCATCGGTTTAACGCTGGCTGGCCCCCGGACCGACTGCGCTCAGGGCCCCAGGCCTTTCCAGTGGGGTCCGTGCAGGCCAGCTTTTCGCGCCGCGTCCAGCCGTGATCGCGAGGACGTCCGCAAAGCACCCGAACACCCCCAAGACGATGCCGACGGCGAGGCGACCCCAGCGACCGCTCCGGTCCGATGTTCCGACCCGGTGCTGACGAATCCCGTCCCAGGCCGCGACCCAAATCCGCTCAAATTCAGTGTTACCCGATCCTGATCCGCTCGACACTGGCGCTGAGCTCCGCTCACAATCGGCGTCGACGTCCCTCTCGAGAGGCTGTCGACACGATGAGGGCATTGGATAAGGAATCCAGGGTCTAGGAGCTGGGTGGAACTCCAATCCTGGAGTGGCCATGGGCATCACCGCCGCACTCATCGGGTAAGGAATCCTCCAGGGTCCGCACGATGGGTTCCCCCGGGGGGGATGGAGCACAGTACCCCCGAGGGCGGCGCGGACCAGCTTCTCCAGGCAGGGGAGAGGAGGTGCTCTGCCAGACCAGGGATCGAGGATCGGGGGGTGGGGATCGGGGATCGGAGCGGATGCTGGCAGAAGGGTTCGTTGGGCAAGGCTGGCACCGCTGGACCCGAGTCTCCCCCAGCCCGACCTGAGGCCCCCCGGCAGCTCGACCCGAGGCGCCCCAGCAGCCGTCGAGGTCACCCTTCTTGAACCAGGCCCTCTCGCCGGTCCCCATCGATGACCAGGGATAGAGGGTCGGGGATCGAGGATCGAAGACCACAGCCCGACTCCCGCGTTCTCCCCGACAAGGACGCCCCCCTCGGGGCTGGCCACTTTGCTCCCTGCCCGCCTGAGGTGCTACCCGATCCCAGCGGAGGCGGGGTCCCGCGCTTTGCCTTCCCGCGCCCTTCTCACCGCCGACGAGGACGAGGGCGAGGAGGAGGAGGAGGAGGAGGAGGAGGAGGAGGAGGAGGAGGGAGGGAGGAGAAGGAGGAGGAGGACGAGGAGGAGAAGGACGAGGAGGAGGAGGAGGGAGGAGGAGGAGGAGAAGGAGGAGGTGTGAGGAGGAAGAGGAGGAGGAGAAGCAGGACGAGGAGCAGCAGGAAGGAGGAGGAGCAGGAGGAGGAGGAGGAGGAGGAGGAGGAGCAGCATGAAGGATCTTGACATCTAGGCGTCGCAATTGTTTGACGGCGGGCGTTTTCGCCGAGGCTTTTCGCCGCATGTTGGTTCCCAGGCCACCCGAGCAATAATCTTCGAAACAAGATCAAAGAGAGCTGCACTCGGGAGATGACGCACGGGAGCGGGGAGCGCGGGGACGCCCCGCAGGTGGAGCTTCGATTGAGAGAGCCCCGCCCTCGGCTGCTTGCTCACGTCGGCCGATGCGCGAGCTTTGCTGTCCGGGCCCTGGGCCCGCCTCCCCTCGCGCCCGCCTTAGCAAGTCTTCCTCCGCCTCCCGCGGCAGCCTTTCGGGCGGCCCCAGCCGCGGCGACGAGGGACCCCAGGAGCAGGCAAGGCGCCCAAATCCCTCTCAGTATCTCCTCCTCCTCCTCCTCATCATCATCCTCCTCCTCCTCCCCAGTACGTCCACCTCCCCCCGCTCCCGCTCCGCCGGTCCGCGCGCCGATCGCGGTCAGCGCGCCCCCTTCGCGCGTCGATCACGGCCAGCGCGACGAGGAGGAGAGAGCCTTCCCCGCGTACCACTGTTTTGCTTGCGCCGCACCGCCGACCCCTCGAGGCGAGCCCGCGGATCCCTCGTGCGGGGGCCCCGCGCACCGCCTGGAGGCTCCGAGGCGCAGCCGTGTGCTGAGGCCGTCCCGAGGGCCCGCCCGGGGCTGCTCGCGGAGAGGGGCGTCCGAGAGACCTGGCAGGCGGCAGAAGTTGGCGGGAGTCCGACCGCCGCGTCGTCGGCTTGCACGCGTTCGACCAGACGTCAGAGTGACCCTTCGACTGGACGTAAGTCGGGCCCGTCCCTCTACAGGGGGGGTATCCAAAGATAGTCCAAATATGATCTGGGGGCTACTGTTCGAATATGTTTTGACTTTTTGGGGGGTATTTTGGGGTATTGTTAATTCTTCGTCGAAAATCCCCCTGTAGGGGGACACGCCCGGCTTAAGACTTGACGCAAGAGTGGCACACGGGGCTCCCCCCGATCGCCGAACGCGATGCGACGGTGGCGTCTTGCGCGCTTGGGTTTCGACCCCCCGCGGCCCCCCAAGAGCCGCGCACCAGAGGTCACTCTTTCCCGGGGTCACTCGTTGCGTGCAGCCGATGCGTATCCATCCCGGGCTGCTTGATTCAGTCGTCGGCGGCACGTTGTTTGACAGGTTTCGTCGTTTGCCCCGGGAATTGACAATGTGTATCAAAGACGTCGTTGCGAGCTGCGGGGCAAAGTCTTGGAAGGAGGACAGAGCGGGAGCGAGGGTGTGCACAGGATGGAGGGAGCGCGGCGGGAGCGGCGGAAGAACCATGAGGCGCAGAAGATATACAGAAAGGCCAGCAGGGAAATTGTTTGGATTGCCCAGTCGGCCAAGCCCGCCACGAAGAAGTAACTTGGGGGGACTGTCGAAAAGACCTCGTGGATTATGTGTTTTGGTTATCCAGCTGCCAGCGGCAAGTCCCTCCACCATGGTAGCCCAACATTCTGGGTGGCGACTTCAAGGGGGCACAGGAGACCGT